CGACGCGCGGAATCCATTGATCCTTCCCCGAGACGCTCGGCTGACGGAACTCATGATCCGCGAGGCCCATGAGCGGACCCTACACGGGGGGGTGCAACTCACACACACCCGGCTCCGGCAGCGCTACTGGATCCCCGCCGGCCGAGCTCTAGTGAGGCAAGTTTTACACCGCTGCGTGGTGTGCGCCCGGCATCGCGCGCGGCCCATGACTCCGCTGATGGCCCCGTTGCCGCGGGAGAGAGTGACGCCGGCGCCACCTTTTCAAGTCGCCGGCGTAGATTACGCGGGACCGGTCACCTTGACCGCAGTACGCGGACGAGGACGCTCTTCAATTAAGGGATACATTGCCGTGTTCGTATGTTTTACCACTCGCGCCATCCATTTGGAGCTCGTGGGTGACTACTCGTCCGAGGCGTTTCTGGCCGCGTTCCAGCGATTTTCGGCGCGTCGCGGAGTGCCAGCGGTGCTATATAGCGACCAGGGCACAACATTTATCGGGGCTGACCGAGCGCTGCGCGCCCAGCTCCGAACTGCGTTGGATGTGGGAGGTCCAGTGGCTCGGGCTCTTGCGGCGGACGGTACGGAGTGGCGTTTCGTACCTCCGTCAGCGCCTCACTTTGGCGGACTGTGGGAGGCCGGGGTGCGGTCGGTGAAACACCACCTGCGGCGCGTGCTGGGAGAAAGGCTGCTCAGCGTAGAAGAGTTCTCCACCTGGCTGACACGTGTGGAGGCGTGGACCCTGAGCCCGCTAACTCAGGATCCGGGGGATCTGGACGTCCTCAGCCTTGGGCCAACAGAACTTAGTACAATTGAGCTCACGACTCCGCGCGAGTCGTAGTTGTGTTTAAGATCTCTGCGGCCAGGACCGCAGCTCTCTCGCGAGCCAAGCTCGCTATTGCTTCGCTGCCAGGGACGCAGCATATACACGCGAGCCACGCTCGCATTTACGTCCGCCTAGGACTTAGCAGCTGCCAGGGACGCAGCCTATACACGCGAGTCAAACTCGCCTTCACGTCCGAATCGGACTTAGTCGCTGTCAGGAACGCAGCTCACGCGAGCCAAGCTCGCTATTGCTACGCTGCCAGGACTGCAGCACGTACGCAAACCAGGTTCGGTACAAGTCTACTCACGACTTAACCGATCGTCGCATCCACGACTCCACACGCGAGGACTCTTCGCTTCTCACCGCGACGAGACTTAGCAATCGTCACGCACACGGCACTATTAACGCACGTTTACAGTGACCTGCACGTCACCGTCAGGCTTCAACACAGCCGCGTCCGCGATTCAGTGT